ACGTTCATATCGTCTATCATCGTATGAATACGTTAATCACTATGAAAAAATTATGTTTTTGGATAAGATAAGTAATCTGAAAATCTTCCCAAAATTCCCATATCACACACCGTTCGTTGCAACATTATTTTCATAACATTATAAGTAAGCTGTCAAAAATATTAATTTATAAAAATGCGTTGCAAGATTACAATTCATAGAATTTACGAAAGTGGGGAATTTTATATACTTCGAAGGTAAATTAACACAAATTTGAGCCCATTTCAATGCACACGATTGAGGTTATGTGTTTCCGGACATCCTTCGACCATTTCTAAGGAAACTAATTGGGTTCCGAAGCATTTGCTTTGATTCTATTTATAAAATAGAATAGAATTGTCACTAGGAATCACTATTTCGTCCTATTGAATTGATTCTTCCCGTTTGACAGCTGACATCCATATTAAATAAACTATCAACTGCACCTTTCAATGCTTTCTCGTTCGTATTTCTTCGTACTTTACACTAGCGCCGCCTGGCGGCCCTTAATATAAGCTGTAAAAATCGTAAAGTTGCAACCCAAATTCATAGTTTTTACGAAATGGAAATACGAATTGCATAAAATTACAATCGTTCGTAGGTATATTTTAAGACAAGAATATAAAGTAATAGCTTGAAATTTCATATTCAGTCTCTGGGTAGAATATATCAAGTGTGCATTGCACACACGTTATATTGTGCAATTCCATGGGATTTACAAATGTGGTTGAGTGTGCAGAGTTTAGATCAGAGATGCTTGTTTTGCATTTGATTTGTGGTTTTTCAAACGTAATCACATTCAAAATTGCTTTTCTGATCCCTCACTGCTCTCCCCCGAGGTCTCTCTACACTCAATTTGCCCATTCTTTTGCCCTCTGCTCACCTCAAATGCTACAATCACTGCAACTGACATTGGCGAATTAACTATCACTGAGTTTTCCAGTAAGTAAATCAAATCGAGAAGTGAATGATGATGATTCCACCTCAAATTTTGCACACAGTTAACACACATACAATGTGTACATATTCATTGAATTCAACCACTTTTGGTAATTTAATCTCCACAAAAGGTTCAATGAAGATGTCTTGTCACCAATGTGTAAAACAAGTACTTTAAAGAGGATCCAATGAGTGCCTGAGTACATATAGTAAAGGGGCTTCAGGGGTGAAAATACACACAAATTGAAAGTGTCAAATAGACAAAGTGCTTAATTACAGTGACATTTTCATTAAAACAGTTTGTTTTTCCTCACAATTGTCTACATTTTGTAATTAACTGGCACTAAAAAGGCACACACAAACACTGTTTGCAACAGCAGGTAATTTAGAATCACAACGCTATATTTTCAATTAACTCCCCTATTTATACATTCTACCTACATATATGCATAGGTAATATCAATTAGAATCCCGCGCATACACTATGCGAATCGTTTTATGTTTGGATTATTACAAAAATTGCTCGAATCCTCTCAAACATCAACAATATTCTTTTATCAGCAACCCTCATTCTCCATGTCCTTTTCAAGATGCTCCACGTGCAACATGAATGCAAAAGGTAAACAGTTATACACATTTTCCACAGATATCCTCAACTTTGCAGCAACAAAACATGACGGCACATTTGGTTACACAGCAAACGTGTAGTGAAAGAGGGGTTGTTGGAGGTGAATCACCGTGTGCATTTGAAAAGTGTTTGTACACCATGTCCAGAATACTAATAGAGTGACAACACAATGAAATCAACTCTTGAGCATTTACCAACTTCACAATGTGTTGTGCGCTATAATAAGCCACAAAACATCATAAGACATGACCCCCCGAACCAAACTATAGATTCTCAATTACGAACACCATCAAGTGTGTGTGTTAAAAATTTCTTTTTCCACCATTTCTCTCGCTCTGTCTTTCTCTCAATAAAAATTCTTAGACTTCAGGCTCACGACATCTGAAATCGCATAATCTCAAGTGTATCGCGAAAACTGTCGCAAACTCATTTGCATTCGCACACATAACCATACATAACTGTGTTATACGACATTCAAGCAAAGAAATTCTTGCACTTTTGGATATTTTCAGTCTTTTCACACACTCTGTGTGAGTTTAGTTCTAATTTTATATCATTTTAAAACGAACGACAAATAGACGTGAGGCCATTGAACTAATAGATTTAATACAGCATTATGTACAATGAAAAACATTATTATTCACCCGTATTTTTCACACCTTTCCTCTCACTCTCTCTCTCACTCTCTTCCTTCACACCTCTTTAACGCTTTATGCTCAGAGTCTTGAGGTTTTTCCAACATATTTGTCTCACTGTGTGGAAAGTTTTGCTTTGTCAACTTTGTAATTCATGCTCAATTGGATTTGCCATTTATGCAATGTTTTTTCTCATTCGATTGTGCGATACGAAAAAAGGGGGAAATTAGATAATAATCACACAACAATTGAATCCTGTGTTTAGAAACCACGAAAAAGATATAATTAGGGATTTTCCCCGGCAAATCTTCTAATTAAATAATTTATTACTAATCATGAGTATTATTTGCCAAATCCGATATTAATTACATAAAATAATTTACTGATAATATGATAGATAATATTGAAGGTAAACCAATCTCGCATAAAGCAATAAAGCACACTATAATTGAAACATCAGAATCGGATTAAAGTTTCAAACCCAAAATCCAATAGTCAATTAACGACCATCAAACAACAAGCTTCTGCCATTTGCTGGGGCATTGCCACCGTATACACACAAAATGTGGGTGAATCTCATGAACTTCCAACCACTCTGCGTTGTGTATTATGTACCGAAATTCACCATATAAATGTTGCCACGAAAAACCTTTATTAGAACCGTCGAAAAATCTGTCGGAATGTCACGAAAGAAATGGCAAAACTGCATTACACAATAAGAGATTGAAGTATAGGAAAAAAAGCTGATATATTTACGAAAATTAGGTTTTTTTTCAGCATATTTTGCATGGCAATTTTTTGACATTCTTGTAACTATACCCTATATTATAGATTGTATATTGTATTGTTCCTCTCGCTTCACATTTACGTCCTATGCAAAACAATTTTCATCTCCTCTACTCACTGCATTTTTATCGTTTATTGCCCACCAGGCAAATTCATAACAATGAAAATTTGATGAAAATTTTTCAGCTACAAAATTTTGACTTAAACGGGGTTACAAGGATAGCCAGGCAAAATGGAGAAAATACCATTAAACAAAAAAAAAACTAGTCAATATAAAAATAGAATCTAATTTTTTCTCTCTCTCTCGTTGCACTCATGGACATTTTATGTGCCAAATAACGCGTTGGAAGCACAAATTTCGTGCCAGTCCTGACACAACAAACGAGAGCAAATGGTTTGAGTGGGGTTAGTGATAAAAGGGGTTAGAATGGCTATTTTGCGGTGTGACAGACTCGCGAAGCAGGACAACACCATCGAGATTGCTCCGCAGGTGCAACAAGGAAGTCCATGAGTGAGTTTAAAACTCTCTCCACACTCTCTACTGTTCACCCCCGTTCAACTCAATGTGTATCCACATTTATATTTATTCCGTTGCAGTGCCGTAGTTGTTCTTCTCCCCATTTTTTCCACCCTCTCTCACTCTCCCTCTCTCTCTCTCTCTGTGTACATGCACATGTATGTATCAAAAACATTCAACCCCCAACAGAGGAAAATTCAATGATGTTGACCAGGAAAAAGAGCAACTTTCTCCCACCCCCGCAACACTGCAGGTATTCTCTCTCACACAGCCGCCCAGCCAACACAGCCTCTCGCATACAGAATACATCATACGACACGTTATAGTTTTATGTGAGCTTCATAAATATCAATTCAATTTGATTCTGAAACACAAACACACACACAGCCAGACACACATTGGGGTCAGAGGGCAAAAAGGGAACAGTGAAAAGAGTGCAAAGTCAAAAAATGTATGGCAGAGAGCAAAAATTAACTCCTATATATGCCCTATATTACCTGTCCTTCTGGGATAGAACAGAAAAAAACAATATCAAATTAAATGTCTAAAGGGATACATAAATATTAATAATCCTCTTTTCCCCACACGTGAACATACATTTTTATACTGAATAGTAACATACGATATAAACATTTTCACCCAAACGCGCGCCACCCAGCCAGACGAAGACTATTTGAATTTTATGATGCTCCTCAATTCCCACAAGTGTGCCAATTTTTTTTTTTGTTTTTATACCACAAACAACCATTAAGCACATCAAATCGATTGCGTCTTAAAGACTCTTACAGTGTTGAGAATAGCCCAAAGAAACATGCTGAATTTCTTCCCTAAATTTGAATATATTGAAATTCATGCACAAATTGCACGCGAATTAGTTTAGTTAAGAAGTTAATTAACACTATACTATAATTTAAATTAAAATTTCCATCTTATAAATTCCCTTGTGAGAAAAACAAACAGCAAAATTCCTTCTCCACCTCTTGTCGGAATCACTTAAAAACCAATGAGTCCCCAATATAACTAAAGTGCTTCTAAATACTAACTTCTTTTTTCTACCTCTAACAAATTGAACATAAAAAAGTTGGAATTATCAACTTTTAAGTATCACATTTTATGAAGCTCGTTAACGCTATATAGCCTATCTTAATGTGTCTCGCGATTGAAAAAGGCCTCGTGCATTAAATCTCTCATTCTCACTGTTGAAACCAATCCGAATCATCTTCTATATAACCTCCCCAGTGCGCGAGTCTTTCTCTCTCTCCCTTTTTACCTCCCTGCGAAACTCACTCGAGCGATCGTAAATTCTCGAGAATAGACAAAGTTTCCAACTCGCTGTGCGGATTTAATTGGCACAGAGGCACTTTTGTGTGATTGAGGTGATTCTCTCTCTTGCTGGGACGATTGATTCTCTTCGTGTTGTTTCCACTGTATTGTGTACATATATATATAGTAATATGGCAGGCAAATATCAACTCACCTTTCCCTGCATTATGAGACGAATTGTGAGTGTCACTGATGGATCTGCAGACTCCATTTTCTTATTGGTTTCATCCATTTTGCCCTCACACTGCTCTTTCTCTTGCCTTTAATCCAACAATCTCTTTCTCACTTGCTCAATTTCTTCTTTAACGGATTCTATATAGGATATCTGGCCGTCAACTGAGTCACACAAGTGTTGTGTGCGCAATTTTCGCGATGAGAAAACAAACTGTCTTGATATTCACAGTGTGCAATGCGTATATTGCTTCTTCTTTTTGTCGTGTCGCCTCCTTGGCGAATTCAAAACTTGCTGGATGGCAATGTTTGCACCGAATTGAGAGAGATAATAATTGAAAGCTGTGAAAATGTGTGTGAAATTTTCGTCTCCAGACTTGAAGAAAATTGTTGCAGTTGCAGAGAGATCGCGCGCTTCTTCTTCGTTTCTTTCTTTCTTTTTTTCTCCTCCTGTCTTCGTCTCTTCTCACACACAGTTTGAAGACTCAGCACAGCTGTTCCACTGAACTTACAGTGAGAGATACGTTGGAAACTGCAAAAGAGACAAGGGAAGAATATAAATCAATTAATTCTGCACATAAATATCACATTATAACCACGCTATACACATAGGAAATTTGCCACCCCACTGAGAATTGCCCAAGAGGATAGAGGCAAAAAAGGGAAGCAACTCCTTCCCATATGGATTGCACAGTGCGACATAAAACTGCTACATTAATTTTCCACCCTTTTTTTTTGCTCCCTCGCCAGCCAGCCACAGTCATTTTTCTCCACTTGTAATCCCTCCTGATAGAGAAAAAATACGCACATTGTACGATATGTCCCGAACCCAATGCGTTGAGTTCACACCCACACACACACACGCACGAAGCGTCTCCACATCCGCCAGAATACATCTTATTTAATGTATGTAATTCCCCAATTCCCAAACTTTTCCCATACGTAATTTATCAATAATTCCATAGAGTACCATTTTCACAGTTAGATGGTATGTCACACGCCAATCTACCCTTTTCTTCGGCATAACGACAGGGTAGGGAAAAAAGCACCTTCCCTCAGCCATCATTGAATGAACTTTCCACCCTCTCCGCACTCACCCTTCCGTCAGGAGAGACATTCTTTAAATATTCACACACTTCCGCGTGCATCATGAAAGATTGAGAGGTGTTGGGAAGAAGGAGGAGAATAATTGAATCTGTGAGTGGTTTGAGACATCTTTTCCACTCTCCTAAACTCCGTCAACCCCTTGTGTAAAAAATAAGGGGGACGACGAAGATGTTCGCCATCGGGAAAATCTGTCCACTTGTTCTCTATCACTCAATTGTCCCTTTTCACTCCTCATTTCTCTTGTTTTCTCTCACCCCGCCTAAAGTGAATTATGTAAAATCAGTGAATCTTATCTTCTCCGTCTTGTAATCTTCATCGTGCCCGCAAAAAATTGCAAAAATTCATTGGCTTTTTACTAATGTGATGAAGAAGAAGAAGTGACAAATTGCAGTGGAAAAAAGACTCTGTCTGAAGTAGAGTAAATAATGTTTGAATTGATTCATGTTCATTTAACCAGTTCAACGCAACCGCAAAACTTTTCATTGCAAATAATTCATTGGAAACTGTTGCACTTTTCTCACATAAGCAAAAACACACACACACACTTTATCTCAAAAGAGGCGATAAAATTTCATTTTAATACCATTCTGTGCTCAGCCAAACACCGCATTTTACTCAACTCTGGTTCAACATTTTGCAGAAATTTGTTGTGTACTAAAAAGTACACACAAGGATTGATCTTCTCTCCATGAAGTAAGAAAATCCCCATAACTTTTTCCCCCCACACACACACACATCCTCTCTTCTAACAAGTAAGCTTTTAGGAAAAGGAGAGGAGAGAAAAGTTTTCCCTCTTCCCTTCTTGTCGATATATATTGAATTCTCCCAACTATTCTAATTCGACTTAGACAACTTTTGTGCAGTGAATGGCGAAGCCGAAACATGATATTAATACAGCAAATATTTCATTCTAGGGTGACTTCATTGAAAATTCCTCTCCAATAGGAATCCATGAACTTCACTCACAAAAATATTCAATATCACACAAGAAAGGAACCTAATAACATTTCTCAACTTTCTTTCAAATGCAAATACCATTTCCTTGTCTTCCTCACCACTCTCACTCACTCTCCTTGATCAATTTTGATCAATGGCATTCGTGAGGATTCACTTTTTCTGTGCGTCAGGTGAAGAGAGAGAGAGATATAAATCAAATTTCAACCCCGGAAGAACTCTTTGGGGCGCTCGCTTTCTTATCCCAGTCGCGCTACAGATTAGGGAGCCGCGCGATGTGTCTTGCAAGAGGGATTGAAGGATACCCAGAATAAAAAAAAAAACTGCCACGACGCAGAAGGCGCGCACTCTTGGGCACCATGAAGAGGGATCGAATCTCTGTATATATATCTCTCTTTTTGAACCAATTCCCACCATTTGACTGAATTATTGATTCCCATCCGAAGAGAAAAGAAGTTGGAAAAAGAGATCCATTTTAGCCAAACACGTTCCAATGACCTCAGAAAGCCACTTAACTTTATGAACTAATACACATGTTTCTTTTTCTGCACAAAGAAGAAAGAAGAAAGCAACCAGAGAGAATGAGTGAGTGGCGAAGAAAGAGGTGAATATGTGGAAGAGAAAGAGGAAAAATTCTCTCCATATCTCCCATTCTTTTATTCAACTTCTTCACCATCATCATCATCATCTTCTTTCTCTTGCCATTCCTGTTCTCCTCTCTTCATCCACACAACACACTCTCTGTTGTTGTTGTGTGTGCGCCTCACACACATTTTTCTTCTTCTGTTCTCAATTCTCTGGATGTCAGTGACTTCTTCTTCTGTTGCTCCCAGCATAAAAACAAATTGAAGAAGCGCGCCCCATCGATTGCCTTCTCTCTTGCCAATGTGATCTTCCACTTCTTCAGCACGCTGGCAAACACACCTCCTTATAACTCCTCTCTAAGCACCCGATGATTCACGTTTTCTGCAATGCCGTGGACCTCGGCATTCTCAAATCATTCCCGCGCGCTCTCAATTGAAGCCTCTCGCAGTCTTTCTCTCTCTCACTCTGTCCAGCATGTCCAAGACAAGAGCACACAAACACCGGTTAGAATTGTGAGAAAAAAGGGGCGATGCAGTTTAGAAAAATGCAGCCTTGCTGCACTTTTCAACACTCTCGCAATTCGTCTGTGTTTCAAAACCAGTTCAGAGCATAAAAAAAAAACAAATTACTGCCTTTCCACCCAAAAGCTAGGTTACAAATTTGCATTCGACAAGATGAACTGCGCGCGCGACCTTTAGCGATAAGAGGCAAACGACCTTCCCATTGTATTAGGCTGTCAACTGATACAGAAATAAAGCCTATCCAGAATCCTCCTTTGTCAGGTTTTTAATCAAATTGCAAAGTGCCGAGAATAGAATCACAACGATTGCGAAGCAAAATGCCTTTGTTGTGCTTCTGCCAGACTTCGAGACGCTGCTGGAGGCCTCCTTCGAGTACTCTGCCGCTTGGCGTGCAGCGCCCCTTGCGAGCCGGCGAGCGCTGGACGAAAAGGGGGCGCGCGCGAGAGCGAGAAAGACTCATCGCAGAGTCGAGTTCACATAACGGTGCTACCAGTTTGTCTATCGATTGACCAAACATGACCGTTTTTGTATATTTCTACTAAATACGTGGAGAACACACAAGAGTCTTGTGAAATTTCTACGGCTTTTCCATGTGATCGCTTTTCCTCTCTCTCTCTCTCGCATTTCACCCCAAAACAAATCCGCACACACAAGGCGCGCGCGGTGTGGCTTCCACGAGTTCACCCATCGCGCGAGTTGGGTTGATTTTTGTGAAGGCGGAATTCTCAGAAGTCGCTGAAATTTTCCGGGGGAAAATTGACAACATGATCCCCATGCAAACAATCTCAAGCAGTTCCGCTTATCATCGTTGAGAGGAAATTGTGGGAAAAGTGCGTAGAAGCCAAATAATAATAAAAAAAGTGTGACAGCAATTGTCAGCAGTCGGTATGGCAGAGCCACCCTGCCTTATCCACGTGGCATCGATTTTTACGCGTATGTAGTTTTTGGTTGTGAAAAACAACTCGATGTTTTTCTCTTTTTTCGCCCCTCTCAATTGCATTTATTGCAGTCCAACGAGACTTTTCGCGACTGCAATTGCATACAAGGTGAATAATTTGGCGGCGAGGCGATAAAAATAGACATTAGCGAGTGAGCCTCACCGTCGATGTGAGGCAAAAACAAAAAGAAGACCCACTCGAAGGAGGCTCTCGGCGCTGCACCGTTGAGCGAAAACGCCCCAAAAGTACCCACCGGAGGCGCTCCGGCCACCCCGCCGGCCACACAATGTTGCAGAGGAGTACTCACAAAATTGCGTCTTGGCGTTGCACTCTCGGCTTTTCATCTCAATGGATGGCTGGCATGGGTCATTTTTCGACAGTTCGCAAACACGCTCTCTTTGTCTCGCACTTTTCCTGGCGCCCTGCACGCTTCACTGGATGCGGTGTGGAGGTAGCGAGAAGGGGGGAGACACACTATTTTCCTGGGGCACACAATTACAAAAAACTCACTATATAAAATAAGAGAGAATTTCTGTTCTGGGGAATAGAATAAAAGGTATGAGATGTATCGCGTTCAGAAAGTGACTGACATTTTGCCTCGAACAGCGCATAGCGGTACCTCCGGTTCGCTCTAGTGCTCTCACTCGCACACCCGGCGCCGCGCCTATCGTGCCCTCTCTGTCGCTCGCACGGCACCAGCGCCGTTTAACGGCCAATGGCGAGAGCATGCATGCTAGTTCGTCTCATTCGCACGCGCTTACACTCAGAGAAATGAGCGAATCGCTGAGATTCGTGTGCATCAAAAGCGGCGAGTTGATAATAATTAGCATATTTCTGATATATTATGAGCAGAAATCAAGCTGATTTATGAATTTTTAACATCCTAAAGTCGTAACATTTTATTGTCATTCAACAAGCGCAGAAAGACGATCTTTTGTTTGTTGTTTTTACGTTGTTTTCAAATGTAATTACAAACAAACATATTCGAGAGAAACAAATAAATAACATGCTCTGTGAAAGTACTAAATATTTTATATATTTTTGAGGACTTTGCACAGATTTTACACAAAATGAAATGATGGAAAAGAATTTTTTAATAAACTCTTTGCTTTTGTCCCTTTTTCCAACTATTTTTTGGAAGCTTTATGTGCTGTGAACAAAATCATGTGGGTGGAATTTTATTAGAATGAAAAGGCATTCATGAATTTTTCCAAATATTCACGCATTTGCAGATTTGTTGTTTAAGTTTGCTTTTAATGCTCTCTATTCACTATATTTTCTAGCAACAAATATTCTTCAATAATCCTCAATAATCTTTCAGCATTTGTCGTAAAACTTCACACACACAGGAAGCTCTGAAAACCCGGAAAAACGACCGGAAAGCTGCAAAAGTCCGCAAATTTTGGCTTAAAGAGCGCTCTGAAAAG